TTCCTGTGTAAATGGATTTTTTGCGATATTTCGTTGGGAAAAAAAGAGAAAAAAGAGATATTGAATTATATCCTATTTTCGACGTTCGCGGGTACATCATATATATACACATTAAACGTACAAAACGTGCTTTTCGCTCACCGAGGAAATATTTTTATTTTTTATACTACTGAAAACGTGAATCGCGTGTTTGTTTCCGCTTTTGACGAATTAATCCAAAAACTATATGGATTATTGTTAAATATAAAACAGTAAACTGCAAAAATAATATAAATGTTGATGAAAATTGTTAAGGTACTTACCTATATCTAGTTATTGTATTTTTTAAATTCCATTGTCGCGTAAATTTAATACCTACCTCAAATAGTTTTTTCTTAAAGGACCACTTAGTAAGAGATCAATACAGGATATTGGAATGCAATTAGAAAAAAAAATTTTWGTTGTATTATTATTATATATTAATTTTATGTTATTTATAAGTGGGTATTATGCAGTCGATATATCTTCGATACTCTGATACTTGTCGAATTACGAAATATAGTTAAAAAATTTACGAGACAAAAAAACCGAGACGTCATYTATGGTTCTACAATGTCCTATATTGGTAAGACACCTGCACATTTTCACTGTCTATGTATTAAACTTTCAATGTGTAACATCGTTTTTATATATTTTTGATATCAAATTCGTAAAAAAAGTTATTCAAGTTTGAAAGACTTACACAAACAATGTATTTCTCTAGACAACAATAATACTTTTATTGATACATCAATAAAATATAAGCAAAATTTCAATATCGAGATTTATCTCTTTGCATGATGGTAAATAAGAGGTTTTTCACTAGGACTAGGTTACGMATATCGCCTGTAGAGTGATTCTTGTCCACATCAAAATCATTCTAACAAACGATTTATGGACGTGAGTAGTGTTCTTTGAAGGGGGAAGTAATATATTAACACTTATTTTATTGGTATAATGAGCAATTATATAGCAAAACGTATTCTTCATAAAATCGAAATTTGGCATTTAGTTCAATATTCAACTTTTTTAATTATCATTATTATTACCAAATATAGGAATATTCTTCAGATTATTTCGKATTATTACTGATATTTTTATATAATACTGTCTGATGAAAAAGCGTTGTACGTTTTTTCATAATAAATAATGATATTATAACCTAATGTTGTAACTTGTTCCTTGCAGGACAATGCGTACCTATAGCTAAAAGGATATAATATATTATACGAAATTCTCTCAAAAATATTTCCATTCTTCTCTTGGTAATAGATGTTTAAGCTTCGGTATCAACGGTATATAACGCATATAGAAGTCACCGTTTTGTAAGCCCGTTGGACAGATAATTAATATATCAGGAGCAGAGTCTCTTAACGTAGTGCTACCATTCGTTTCGAATTCCAATTCGACGATAACGCACGCGTAGTAGGTATAATAAATTATTATAATATTATTATGTAAAGGCACAGCTGATAACCGACATTTTATAATAATCTTTATACAATATTAATAAAACGAGAGGCGATTTCTTATGACAGTTATATCTGAAGTTCTACTGGAGCGATTTTCATAATTTATTTTTCGCGTGCACGCAAGTACTCGGTGTGCAGATGAGCCATCGGAAGAGTAAAGTCCAAAAAATCTTTACAACCACCACTATAATTATCCGTCTGCTGTAATACTGCTGTGTCATCATCGGTAAAGCGATGACAAATGGCGATGTGCGTTACTGTCTGTCGTATACAATATACATTTACATTGTGACAGTTGATTAATAAACCAAAACATTATTAATGAACTCTCATAAAAATAAACATAAAAAATGTATTATACCTACATATAGCGCTAGGGTCACTTAATGTAAAAAAAAAATTAATTAATTAAAAATATCAATTTGAACAAA